ATATAGCAATAGGAGTAAGCAGTAGCTGGTAATATTACCAAGATTCCTCATAAAGAAAGGAATGTTGGTACAGTACTAGTGTATTAGTACCACATTTGTACTGTATTCTTATGTAGTTTAAGCAAATAATGTCAAACATACTCTATGTTAGTGATACAAATTCTTATATTTGTACCAAGGATTCAGATTCACACACTCTGATGTGTTAATGTGGAACAATCCAGTTAGTAAACCTTTGATTTGGACTTTTTTTTAACTGTGCTAAGATCATAACCTAATCCAAATCTGAACTATTGAATACGTCATCTACAGACTGGTTCAGTCTTGAAGGTAAATATCCTCTGGACAGACTCAATCTCAAACCCCACAGAGCGAATACCAAAAAGGAAATATACAAAAGAAGAAAGCTGAAAATGTAAGCAGAAAAATTATATTGTAAGAAAAACTGAAAAGAAAAGAAGATAAGTAAGGAAAAACAAACCCGGAAATAACAACTGACTTGCTATGCAGAGAAATGCATCGTTACAAAAAGAGAAGTCCATAAAGGTCACATGAATGTCAGAATAAAACACTAGTGTAACAAAGATGACACTATTTCCCAGCAACCGCTTGGTAAAGAGATGAAAAATTTGCTGTTAGTTGGTGGAGACGAAAGACAAAACAAGCCAAAGCTGACAAAAATCCCGGACCACGACACAAAGGTTTCAGATTGTGGGGCTAGCTTTGTATTACCATGAAAAAGAGCAGAAATTAAAAAATTATCAATGAATTCATAAACAGAATGAACCATGTGTCTGTAAGAACAAACTACTGTTGTTCTACAAATGTGCTGTTTCGAAATCATCATAAGAAAGAGTTAACGTTTCTTTATGTTGGGGTCAGAAACCTGAAACCTTATACTGTGGAGATCAAATGATTAAGTGTGATGTTACAGATTTGAAACATCATACTTCTCATTATACACTAATTCATACACTTCTCATTAACAGTATTTGACACTGAAAGACAGAAAGCCCAGGTTTTCTCACAAATGTAAAACGTGAGATACATATATAATTACAGTTTAGAATTTTTTTTTTTTTTTTTTTTACAACAATAGACAGTCCACACCCTTTACTGTTCACACAGAACCAGCAAAGCAGCAAAATGCAACAGGTACCATTTAAAAACACTGTCAATAAATCGGTTCAGCTAACACAGAGAAAACATGTAGCACAAAGACAACAGAGAAAACAGTTAAAGCAACATTATATCAGTTGAGGTAAAGAAAGGAAGAAAAAGAAAGAAAAGAGAGAGAGGAATAGTGGAAGAAAGATGTGCACATATATAAAGGAGAAATTGAATGAAACACTCAAGAGAGAGCAGTGTTTGTGTGAACAGGCAGCAGGCTGAAGCCATGCAGTGAATGACAGTGTGAAGATGGCAAGAGAGACAGGAATAGAAAGAGGAGAGAAACAGAGAAGAGGTGAGTTTTCTAGCATCGTTGCGGAAGTAAGTAAAGTCTATAATATTTGCTGTATGAGGAGGTTAGATATATTTTCATCATCATATATTATACATCATCTACTTCAGCTAGTGGGCCAGTGGCTGAGCCTTGCAGGATGGTGGGCCCTCTGGATGTTGGTGGTAATATCATAAAATCATCTTATATGTAGATGATACTTCAGTATTCATCTACCCTAACTCAGTGCCCACTCAAGAATGTAAATATAATGTACTCATGTTAGTGAAGGTCTCATAGTTAAATAAGTCATAAAAGATCCTCATTAGTTCTGCTTTAATTAATGCAAAATTTAGGGAGCTTTAAAAGGTCATTAATATAATGACTAATCATAATGATTATTATAAAGTCATTAGTATAATGACTGTAAATCTAAGATCCTAATCCAATGTCCGAAAGTCTGTCCAAAACATAAGAGAACACCCCTTATTTCCTTTTTACTGCTTTTAGTCCGTAAACAATTCTTCAATAAACTTTTATAGATATTGTCTCGGCCAGGTGTCCAAGCATGCTGTAGTTGACCCAGGAAAGTTTAGTCCCAGGTCCAGGGTGGAGCTCAACACTTTTAACCATGGGAAAAAAAGCAGCAGTACACCTGAAACAAATAATTAAATTATGTGAAATCTGTTCAAATGTAATTCAGTGGGTTGAAATCTGTAACCTCACCGTTCAATGTCACTAAATCCTACACACTGGTCCTTAAAATAAAATGTACTCATCTTGTTAAAGGAGTGACTATTTACTATGTCTTAGAGTCTGCAGCTATTTTTAAGCCATCTCTACTACATTGATTATTGAAGGAGATCAAACTTGTCTTTATCAAAGATGAAAGTCATTTTTAAATGTCATTTTTAAGGTTGTACTGCATGCAATTTAGTCTTAGCAGCAGTGTTGTCAGATGGTCTGCAATTTGCTGTCGACATGAGAAAAGGGTAACATCATAAAACAATGCAATATGCAGATGATACTGTAACAGTCATATATAGCCTAAGGAATCAGTTAGTGGTACATTAAAATATAAAACTAACTTCTTAAAGCCTCAAAATTCAAATCATGTTTACACCTATGCAGATAAATGTTATTATTCAGAATGAATGCCGGTCAGATATAGTTTAGTTTAATGATGACAACAACAACAACAGCAAAATTATGCCTTATGCCTAACATAGTATGGTCACTATAGCACTTTGTCTTTTACTTTGTCTTTTTTATTGTTTCAGTAGATCTGATTACACAATCCAGCTCGTGCTGACACATTTTTGTGTTCTCGTCAAGAATTCTACATTGCCATAAAAATTCTGTGCCATTCTGTGTGCTAACACTGTTTCTCATTTGGTCAATAAAATATCAGTGTCCAACACACTTTCTGGGGCATTTTAAAATTGATAGTTTTTGTCAAAATCCTAAAGATAATTTGTTTAATTTTACATAAGACAAAGAAAAATTTGAGTATTTAAATATAATTCGGGTTTATTACAACTCATGTCCTATTTTCATTGTTTGGTCCATCATTTCGCAACAATTAATTTGGTGAGGACATTGTGATTATATGAGAAGTGTCTTGGAAAAACATTTTTTTATTGGTGATAATAGTTGGCAATGTGTGGACAATGGGCCAAAACAGAGAAAAATAAGCACGCTTTTTGAAAACTTCCAACAATCATGACATGAAATAATAATCAAGATATGTTTAGGTGTTTTAAATTATGTGCAAATGCCATACTCTCACTGTACACCTCTGTCTCTAAATGCAGCAGTATATTAGAGGGGCCTCCTTATTTATTTCCATGTGAAAAGAGATGGTGAGCAGGGTTAACAGCACTCTCCTTCACAGACCCTGTCACACACACACGCCAGGTTGGAGGAGCTGGCTGGGCAGAGGTCACGGCCGAGAGTTCCCTCTGAATGGTGGTGAATAGGCGTGTGGCATGAATAAGTCCACACGCTTGTCACGCTTGGCCTCCATTAAGGCGTGACAATAGCACTGAAACCCCGCCTCCACCTAACACCCGAGGGTGCCACCCATGGCACATGTATGTGTGTGTGCATCCACACAGACTTGATTTTTGGTGTGTGTGTTTGTAGGTATTGAGCTTGTCTTACGTGTGGTAGGTAGTGCGTGTGTGCGCGTGTGTGTGTGTGTGTGTGTGTGTGTGTGTGTGTGTGTGTGTGTGTGTGTGTGTGCGCGTGTGTGTGTGCGCATGTGTGGTAGGCAGATGGTGACGGCTGGTTAAAAATGTCCCCTACAGTGACCCAGAGCAGGTTTCTATCTGCAATCAAAGACAAAACGTATTTTTTCACCTTTACTGAGTGAAATTCTCTTTCTGTCTATTACTTTTTTCTTTCTCCGTCTCTTGAGTTTCATTCAGTTCTCTCATGTTCTCACTCTGCTGTTTTTCCTTCCATCTTATTTTCATCTTTCTTTCCATCAAATTTTAACTAAAACACACAGACTACTGCAGCAATTACAACTTTTAATTCCTAAGCACTTGCAGTTTGCAACTGACTAACTGCATATCTTAGAAAAACAAAACAGCTTGATCATAGTTCCCTTTGCAGCACATATGAGTTGCTTCACAAGACATACTTTTAATAAGTCCTCATTTCAATGTCATACCATATTTAAAAGCTGCTGTATTTGTTGCACAGCAGTAATGTAGTAATAAAAGTTCATTATGAAGTTAAGGAAATTTAAATTTCATTCAATATTTACTACTGACAGATCTCTCTTGATCAACATATTCTCACTCTGGATTGTTGTCGTGGTTATTGAACAGAATCTGTTGACTCGACAATAGAAATGTCAGATGGTGCTGAAGATGAGATCAAATCAAATCTCTCTCTGTAGGAGAAATATTCAAACTGGGATATGTCTAACAAGTCCTCAAAACTATTTGACATTACAAGTTGTTTGCCAGTGCTGATCTGATGCCAGGACAACAGTGCCTCCCAAAACCATAACAAATGACCATTCCAAACATTATTTACACACACTTGAACTTTTGCTGATAACTTTTGACTGAGGACAGTCTCACTATTCCCAATATGAATCTCGAGACAGTCAAAATGAAGGTAAATCAGCCCCCAAAATCTTCCTTCAAAGTGCCGCTGAGCAAGGCACAGAACCCTATCACCACCAGTATGAAAATGGAAAATTGCCTTTTTCCTTAATTAACTAATTCAGTGCTCAGTCAGTCTTTAATTGGTAAAAATTATTTTGAGAGGCCAGATACAAAGCAGCAGTCGCGGATTTGAACCGCAGCTCCGGTCCCAACAGCGCCACTCTCATTTCAAAAACAGCAGAACAGCCCTTTAAAGACCCGCTGACCGAGGAAACAGCAGCAGCTTCCTCCTGTGATATTTCTGTTTTTTTCTCTAACTCTCTGTGGGTTTTATTGCCGGTGGGCTGCATTATCAAACCCCCGCCCCTCCTCCCACCCACCCTCCCCACAGGGCCCTGGGGATGTGTGAAGTGAGCGCCCCTCTCTTTTGTAGTTACCTTGTTTGATCTGGGCCTGTAGCGCCGGGCAGGAGGGCTGGGGGGGGGCAGCAGGCGTCCTGCGTGGAGACTCTGGGGTTCCTCCTGGTCTGGGAGGCCTGGAGGAGGATCACAAAGAGGAGGCATGAAATATTAAAGGAAGGAGGAGAGAGGAGGACCAGCGCACATACACGCACACACACACACGCGCACACACACACACACACACACACACACACAGAAAACAAAATACAAAGAAACACGCTCACAGAAACACATACATACATAAAACCAGGACTCCAACAAAACAACATTTTTTATTTCAGTTTCCTGAAACTAACTAGTTGAATCTCTCTCTCTATCTCTGTGTGTGTGCGTGTGTGTGTGCGTGTGTGTGTGTGTGTGTGTGTGTGTGTGTGCGTGTGTGTGTGTGTGTGTCTTTTCAGGCTCCAGCCTATTGAATTTTAGGTGGAGGATACAATCCGGAGTCTGAACAGACTGGAGGCGTCTAACTTTCAGAGACACACAAATACTTCCAATACAACAATCAATGGAGTGATCAATAACAGTTGCCAGGCAACAAATCACTGCCAGGGAGCGCTACAGATAGCAGTTGAAAAAACACTAAATTCTACAGGGGGGAAATTTCAAAAAGTGACAGGGGGGAGGTCAGAAAGTGTGACAGTATGATTGTTACTACGAACAGTGTAGAGTCATGTACACATCTAATGTGTCCGGCTGTAAAAACAGAAGACAATGGGACGATGGGTCACAAAATAAAGCAAAGGTGTTGAAAAATGGAATATTTTATTTACATAAACTGCAGAATCCTTCTTCCTAATGTTCTCAGTTTAGGGAGAATATATGATCATGTTTTATTAAGAAGCCTGTGTTGTCTGATCTGCACCGAACTCAACACTCCTGCGATGTTTACTTGCAGTTTTGACACAGCAGTCTAAAGAGATGTACAGCTGTATTTGTGTATGACATGACTCTGTTGTTGCACTAATGGAATTAGTGTTGTGGAAGTGAATATATCTTGGTACTACATGGTACAGATACTAACACCCCCATCAATTTTTTTTTTTTTACAAAATCCTTATTAGCAAACCAGAGCTGCACCTATTTCTAGGTAATTGTATCTATTGTTTAGTGTTTTTGTTTGACTGCTTGTAGCTTGTTGTGCTGTTGTTGTCTCTTTCTAGACATCTGTAGATCTTTAGCTAATTGTAGGATATTATCAACTGTGTTGTCTGTTTTGGTTTGTGTTTGCAATTCACATTGACTGTTGTAATTACATTACAGATGTAAAAGCCCAACCAGGGACAAGAGTCGAAAAATCAGCAACAGCTATAAACTCTTTGTGCAACTCGACAGTTTCACGCTTTGTTTTGAAACTATGTTAAATTGCATCGTCCCTATCAAATAAATAAATAAAGATAAAGATTCACCCTTGCTGGCCACAGCTCCAGCTATTATTTGAGACTGAACAAGTTTATCTCTTCAGGCTGTTTCATTCAAATCAAACAGTGGGGTCATATTCTACTGTTTTTATTTTGTTATTGATATTCGTTCTATAAAAGAAATACAACATTTCTTTCACAGTAATATGAATAAGAAATAAGTATAATAAGTATAAAATAATAAAGGAGTGAAATAACCGTGTTGAAAGAGAAATACAGTATTTGGACTGTTATTTATTGATATATAATAAACCTGGGGAAAGAAAAATCCACCTTAAAAAGCCTCAGTTACTGAAGAGGACCAGTAAAAACAAATGAAAATAAAATGAACTCCTGGAATGTAGTGAACATACCAAACAGTCAATATATGCTTCTCTGTTTAAATTATACAATACACACACACACACACACACACACACACACACACACACACACACCTTTTATTCTACACAGAAGAGGCAGTGAGATCCATTCAGAAAATGGAGCACAAGAACATGTGCACCTGCATGCAGTCCCTCCCACCCCACCATACACACACACACACACACACGCACGCACGCACGCACACACACACATACACCTGCTCTCAATGCTTTTCACTGTAACACACTCAAAGAAACACAGTGACAACCCACACACACACACACACACACACACACACACACACACACACACACACACACACACACACACACACACACACACACACACACACACAGTAGTCTTGTGGTACAGAAATAAAACAAAGAAACACAAACACACTTTCACACAAATCCCTGGAAAACCAATTTAACAACTGAATAAAGCATTTTCTATCCATCCATCTACACTCACATGCCAAACTATGTTTACATGAAAAACTACAATCACCTCCTCATGTTTGTCTGCCTCCTCCACTCCGACTAGTTTCAGATTACATCCCTATTTATCCAGAGGCCTACTGTATAAAAAATGAACCACTTGTGTGAAATTTTGTCATAACTCATGGGTCTTGAGTTTTGGCTAAAAAGCTTCAGTCCAGCTGAACGTTTGAACCATATTTGAAGAAATTCCCTCAAGGCCTTACGGAGACATCACATTCAAAGGGCCAAAATTGTGTTTTGTGCGGTCACCGTGACCTTGATCTTTGATCTCTGACCCCCAAAATCTAATCAGTTAATCCTTGAGTCCTACTGAATGTTTGTGCCAAATTTGAAGAAGTTCAGTCAATGCGTTATTGAGATATCGCGTCCAACGAGAATGGGACAGACAGATGTAAATACGTATGTACAGACGGCACTAAGATGATCCCTTCCTGATATGGCTCTAACGTAAGAGATGAAAGACAAAAGCCACAGTCCTAATTCTATGGAAGCAGAAATTCTAAAGTTCAGTTGAAGCTAACATCAAGTCAAGTCTTCCAAAGTTATGTCTTTGTTAGTGCGAACTCTTTTTGCTTTTCCACTGACAGTGTTTCCAGTGAACGGAGAGTAGAGACACAAACTGCACCAGAATGAATAAAAACACAAATGATTTCATACATTTTAGAGATCACTTTTAAGTTGAACAAACCACAGTTAACTTTTGAATCACGACAGGTCACCAAACCTCATTTTAAACCTCAGACACCATGAGTTGATGCGAATGACATTTGATATCAGACTTCATCAGGCTAAATAAATTCAGTGTACGCCTCGTCGATGCAGCTCATGATGTTATCTGACTGCTGCTTTTTGGATCTGCATGTGTAATGTGTGTACTAGCTGGAAAATGGGGTTTGTGGGTGTTATCTAAATAAAATCTAAATCCATCAATTTTAGTAAAAACGTGATTTGATTCAAACCAAAGAAAAAAAAATCTCAATTCGAAAATCTGCACTTAAACACGGCTCAGGTGTGATTGGAAAGACTTTTTTTTTTTTTCTATCTACAAGGTAAACTTATTGAATCAAACTGGAACTGTGGGGCACTGACAGGTGGTGTATGTATTTATTGGAAAGTGAAAATCAATCCATATGGATGTGTGTAGATTATGGGTGCCCTCCTGTCCTATCTTTAATCTAACACTCCTCACCTGGACTGCAAGCACACACTGCAGTAAGTGTACATGCAAACTATAATGCTGCGGAAGAAAAAAAAAATAATAATAATTCAATTTTCATTGAATCAAAGCGTTTCAGATTGAGACTACATCCAAACTGAGCCAGATAATTCTTAAATCGCAGATTATGTGTGGAAACGAAGTGGTTTTTCAGCTACATCTCCCTGAAACTGCAAGAGAATTTTTTTTTTTTTTTCAGCCAACTGAGTGTGGACATCCTGATGGGGAAGGGAAGAGCTTGATGTCTTATACAATGAGCAGCAATTTTCAGAGACTGGGGTTCAGAAAACGAAACAAGAGGCAGGAAAATGTTTTCGTGTTTTTCATGTTTATTCTTGTCTGGGTCATTTTCCAAACTGAAGGGCTTCCAGGTCTCCTCCTCCTTTGGGCGAGCAAAAGAACTCAGCTGGAGTCAGTGGAAGAAGTGTTGTTGTAGTTGCTGTGATGAAATACTAAAACACTATAAGTTCAGGAATGCTTCTTTTCAAACTCTAGCACACAGGGAGGAAGCCTTTCCACTGTCATAAATGTAAGAAAGGGAACATGAAAAAGCCAAAAACCCAAACACCTTCAAATATATAACAGCTGCTGGTTTGGAGTGCTGTGGTGGAAAGAGCCAGATCTTTGTTTGAGTTTAATAAAGGAGTCTTCAGCATCTGTAGCTGCACAATCACCTGCTCTGATCTAGACACCACAGTGGAGAAGTTCTTAGTTTCTAAGAAAGTAATAAACAGGTCTGAAAACTTCTTCAGGCTGTGTCCTCTGTTCTCTCTCTGTGGTGTCTGATGTTGTAGCTGCTGTTCCTTGCACCGTTTGCTTCCAGCCAATCATGTTGTAATTAAGATGCAATACTTTATTTTTTTCATCATTTCTGACTGTGGAAATCAATGACACAGCAGCATGAGATGAAAGATTCCACCAAGGACAGACACAGTGGTAGTTTCATCGTTTGCTTCGAACACAGGACTCGTGGGCACCAACATGGTTGACAGCGGTCTAAACCGGTCGCCTGGGGCAACTGTCAGTTAAAGCAGCAATGTTCAGTAAACACACCTGAAAGACTTGACAATCACTTGCAACTTGCTCATGCAGACATAAGACTAGACTCGGACTTGCCCTCAAGCACGTGAGCCTTGATGTGAACTTGCTTTCGAGTCTTGAGCTTTGACTCGGGGCTTATATCAGTTGACTTGTTCTCTCAGTTGACTTGACACTTTACGTAGACTTGCCATCAAGGACTTCACGCTCGACTTCAGACTGGCTTTAACATGGCTTAAGACTTGACTTGAACTTGTCTCTGTTGACTTTAGACTTGAGCAGGACATGAAGTGGATCTTCTTTCAAGGGGTTCAGACATTCATTTTTTTTTTTGAGATATCACGTTCACATGTCACAAAATCTGAGTTTTGGAAGGTCATTGCAACCTTTCACCACCAAAATCTAATCAGTTCATGCCAGAGTCCTAGGGAATGTTTGTGCCAAATTTGAAGAGGTTCTGTCAAGGCGTTACTGAGAAATCGCGTCCACAAGAGCGGACCAGAGAGACGGACGGACACCCCGAACACAATATACCTCCAGCTCTGGCTGTCGCTGGTGCGGAAGATCAACTCTGACTCACAGAACACAGCTCTTATTAATCAATATATGAGACAAGACTCAACTGAGGAACTGAATTCCCATCAAACCTGTATCAGCTTGACAATGGGAGTTTTTTTATGTGACTTTTAAGGTGTCAAATTAACACCCGTTGGTTGGACCCGTACAGAGGCCAAACTACAGAGCCACTTATTACTTTGTTATTTCATAAAGATGATTAACCACAAAGAGAAATACCTTGTAGACTGAAAACAGGTGAAATAAAAATCAGAGGATACTTTCTCTCCTATGTACTCACACCCCCACACCCCTCTCTCTCCTTCTCCCTCGCTTTCCATCCCTGCAGGGTTATTCTGTGCAGGGTTGACGAAATGATGAAATGTTGTGTTGGTGTTACAGCAGCAGGACCATGACCTCCGTGTTAAATCTTTCACAGCACAATGAGAGCTCAGACAGACTAAACAATCAGCTTCACACACACACACACACACACACACACACACACACAGACGTGACAGGAGTTGAACTTATTGTGAATGTGAACAGAGTCTATATTTCTGTGCTTTGAATTCAGTCTCTGCTGCAGCTTGTTTGGGTTATTATTTTGTTTTTCAGCTGGAATCACTGATGATGGATCACAGGTGTGTTTTTCTGCCTGAATCCAGATCTTTTTGTTTATTTTTCAGACACTCTGAATGAAATTTCCAGTAACACTTGGATTACATCTGGGCAAATGTCTGGGATCACGCTTTGCATCAGCTCAGAGGTCTGAATGGAACCAATCGAGATAATCCACAGCCATGTCACACCTAAAAAGGTTCTGCAGCAAACAACTATTTTCTATGTAAAGATATAGAGGAATAATGACGTCATGAGCAGAGAACGAAGTCACACCACCTCCTGTTAGACCATTGGCCCTCCCCATATTTCTAAACACACACACACACACACACACACACACACACACACAAGATGGCACATTGCAGTACGCCGTGTTCAGGTGAGAGTGACCTTCCAGAATTTCCTCAAACTGAAGAATCCATGTTTTCATGTAAACAGGCCTCTGACAAAGAGATGAGACCAGAGGTAGACTGGCCATAGGGACTACTGGCCTAAATCCCAGTTGGCCAGTGGACCATCAAAACATCTATACAATTTTTACCAGCTCCATCAGTGTCATTCATGTGACCGGTCCCAGTGGATAAGTCCAAAGCTGACCGAACTGGTCCAGCTTTACTGAGATGGAGAACCCTGCGACCTGGTAAAGGGTTCACCTTGACTCAACTGGCTTTTCTTCCCCCTGATGTGTAAGTACCTTGATGGTTTATAATGTAACATGTCTCTTTTCATTAGTGACAGTAGAAATGCTAACGTTAGCTAACTTGCTATACATTTTTGTTGGCTCTCGTATACACAGGGTAACTTTATGTAGTTAGGCTTCCTGTTGTGTGTTTAGTGACTGCGCTCTCTGGGCTTCTTAACACCTTGCAGACTGGAGGCGGGGTTGTGGCCAAACGGAGGCCCGGCTAAGCGTTTGTTTTGGTCTGAGATGCCGGTGGTCTAATGCGACATCTACTGGCAATGATGATCGTTAACAGAACTTTCAAATGTGTTCAACTATAGTTCATGTAATGATCACTAGATGTTGCTTTAAGAAACACTCTCAATTGTATCAAAGGGAACAGGAAAACCTCCACCTAATGAGTAAAGTTTTACTAGAAGAACTGAGCATCTCAGAAGCTAAATTCACTTTTTTATAATATAAGTCTTGGTGGAGATTTTGACAAAAAAATGTAGATTTCTTAAATCTGGATTAGGTGTTTGGGTTTCTATCCATTTGGGGGCAAAAGAGGCCAACAATAAGTCTTACAGGACACCTTTTTATACAATATATTACCACTTTTTAAATTATTGTGGGAAACTTTCTTTCAAGATGCTTCTTTGTTGGTAAAACCACCAGATTAACTTTAGAAAGATAGAAAAGCGTATTGTTGTACGTCCATGTGTTTGTTACCTGGCTGGTGCTTTCTTCATGTGCTCCCCGACGAAGGTGGCGTTGGTCATGCCCATCAGAGTGTTGGCCAGCGAAATGACGGACAGGAGGTGCTGTGTGGTGACGGCCCTTGACACACCGTATGTACCCTTCCCTACGATGTCTGTCAGAGTCAGCTTCCGACCTGTCGCCAGGGACAACTGGCACAGCAAGGACTCCTGGACAAAGGAGGCAGACAAAGAAGGAAGGTTGAACCTCTTTCACACTGAGCCAGGGACCCTGGATATACAGGTGTGTGGTGTAAACTGGTCAACATGAGTTGCAGATCCTTTTTTTTTTTTTTTTTAATCTGTCCTTTTATTCTTTTATGTTACTGTATTTTTGTTAAGCACTTGTAACTTTGTTGTGCTAAGTGTTCTATTTATAAAATAATACTAATTGTAGGTGTGGGGGAAAAAGTGATTCACAGAAGAATCCAGAGACTAATTGTAAGTGGAGCACTGAACTCCACTTAGCTCAGTGCTGCAGCTGAAAATGATCCGACCAACCAAAACACACGGCAACTCTTAAGAAAACTTTCAGGAAACTCGGGTCAGGTGAAGGAAAAAAACTCAGTCGATAGTCTGTCTCAAACGATCTGAACCTATATGGCATTTTGAATAATGATGGTTTTCACTGGTAATTCAGTGTTGCAGCAGAGAGGCTGATCTCCAGGACTGGAGTCATACTGTTTAAAAAAGGAAAAAAAAAAAGATCATCACTATTTTCTGTTTGTTAGACAGTGCCATCCTTCCATCCATCCATCCAGTGCACATGAGTACAAGCCTGAAACTAGTGCCCTCTTTTCTATTTACTGAATCAAGAATTGGTTTTGAATCGATTCTGAACTCAATCATCAAAACAAGAATCAAAATTGAATCAAATCGTGAGATTCCCACATATACCCACCCCTGATAGCAATATTATTTATTAAAAATAAAAACAGTAATTTGGGAAAATATGATGGAATATAATATCTTATAAATATTAATAAATCACATAAATAAATAAATGATATCTTATAAGTAGTTATTTTTATGTTATTCATTATAAGTTTTGAAACGAGCACCTTATCACATTTAGTGTTATTAATTTCATTTTCATTTATTTTTTATTTGTATCTGCCTAATGAACACTGATCACAGCGCACCTGGAAGACTCGTGGCAGGAAACAGACAGGTACCTTGAAGGTGGGGAGCATGAGGGACATGTGACCTCCTCTGGAGATCAGGCCGAAGGAGATGGGGCAGTGCGGTCTGAGCATGCCCAGTCGCTCCAGACAGATGCCGTCCAGCTGTTCATTGAGACCCCAGGCGTGCAGGCAGGACATGAAGAGTTTGGCCGTGTCCATCGTCAGGTTGTACTCCAGCAGACTCAGAGACTTGGACTTCTCCTCACGCCTCCTCATCTCCTCCTCCTCCTCCTCGTCTTCATCCAGCAGGTGCTCCTTTATGGTCTCCTTCATGGTCTCCTTCACCTGGTTTGGACAGGAGGCAACGTTAAGAACAACACAAGAGTGAAATAACAGAGGGTGAACAATAGAGAAAAAATGAAATAAAATTCTGAAATTATTTATTTTATAGCTTTTATAAGCCAATTAATTGTGTAGGACTGATGTACTTTCCCCCTCTTTTTGCTTTCCGTTTTACTGACCTGTTTGAAGATCTTGTTGGCGAGGAAGGACCCCCCTTTGTCGGCCCCAGCCTGGCTCTTCTGCAGTGTCTCCGGAGACACCAGTGTAGGGTTCGGTCTCTGGGCTTCCTCCGTCAGCAGCTGGATGATCACTGCCTCCACGTCGAAGAACAGCACGTGCATGTCGGGGTCCGTCAGGTTGGTCTTCATCGCCTGGACCACCAGGGCATTATGGGAGTATTTCGGCAGGTTGCCCTGGACGAAAGAGAGGGAAAATTTAAAGTAAAGGAAGCATACCTTCCTTGTGACGAGCCACACATTCAAGCCACTTGTTTTTCAAACAGAGAAAATGAAACAATACCAGTGAAAATCCATTCTACTTGTTGGGTGGGAATAGTCATCATAATTCTACATATTGTGGCTGAACTTATCATCTCTCCTCATTTTGAATTACTTTTACCATTTCTTTGAGGAGGTACTCTGTTGTGTCTTTCAGACACCGAGCATCCAGTTCATGAAAGTAGTCAGATTACATCGCTGTTTATCCAGAGTCTTATATTAACAATTTGTGTGAAATTTTGTCATACTTGCTGTGTGAAGTCTTGAGTTATAAAAAGTGTTTTTTTAGCCATACGAATCTAATCAGTTCATCCTTGAGTCCAAGTGGACATTTATGCCAAATCTGAAGAAGTTCCTTCAGGGTGTTACTGAGATATCGTGTTCACAAGGCCAAAATTGTGTTTTCAGAGGTTACCATGAACTTGACCTTTGACTCTTTGACTTTTAGCCACCAAAATGTAATCATTTTGTCCTCGTGTCCAGGTGAATGTTTGTACCAAATTTAAAGAAATTCCCTTAAGGTGTTACTGAGATATCACGTTGACGAGAATGGGACAGACGGACGGCAACCCGAAAACATTTGACATATTATCATCTTCTAAATTTATTATGGCTAAAATGTTAGCAAAGAGCTGCCTAGTTCCACATATCCTGCACACACAGAGCAACATCATCATTCCACTGGAACCACGTTTGCTTCCATCACTCTCCTTTTAGCTCTGGTTTGGTCTCCACCAACTCCTGAGAAAAAACTAACACTGTTCCACGTTTTCCCCACAAGTTAGTCGGAAGCAGAACCATGAGGTTAAAAACAGTAAAACATCCCTGTGAGTGACATCTTTTTACATGAAATAGATTCATTTGATCTGTTGCTAATATAAAATCTTTGACTAATGGAGCTTTAAGACCACATTAAACAGATCTTTATCTTCATCAAAACTACAGGCATGATTTTCTTAGAGAACAAAGACCAGCATTGGTACTTTAGCAAATACTGATTTAAATCAGTCGTTCCTGTGAACACAAACCATCTCACAGACAGAGACACACAACAAACACACACATCAGCTGTAATTGCCACCAATACTTACACACCGCTCGATTTTAATTGTATTAGCAGAGGCACCTGTGTGGAGCTGTATGTAGAACAGAGCTGTTTGTTTACATGTTAATGACCCGATGACTGCAATCAGACAACTGTGATCCTGTTAGAGTGTGACTCTGAGGGAGGACAGGGTGGGAGTGATTAAAGGAGAAGAATGAAGTGAGGAAATAAAGAGAAAAAAAGGGGCAAAGGTGGATTTCCATCAGTATGTGTTTAATGAGAGATTTTTTATTAGTTAGTTTGAACTGAAGCTCTTTCCTTCTACGTGAGGAGTGTTTAGTTGGTCTGAAGCTGTGCAGACAATCAACTGACTAATTGTTTCAGCACTAGTTACGTTCACACTGAGGACCTGCTAACCTGAACAGTACACAACCCAATGACAGCCGAAACCAGAGCCAATAACTGAGCGCTTGAAAGACACTTGATATATGTCTCTGCCGTTGTCCTAATGTTTGATCACTGACATTTCACCGTGTTGCACTTCCTGGTTTTGAAAACACTGTTATTGACCTTAATACCAATAAAGCTCATTGAATTGATCTGGATGTAACAGTGTGACCGACAGAGAAACAACAATTACACATGGAGACTCCTGAGTGACCAAGAGACACAATACACCTGCAGCTGGAACACACACAAACGTGTGTGTGTGTGTGTGTGTGTGTGTGTGTGTATGTGTGTGTGTATGTGTGTGTGTGTGTGTGCTTGCAAAATCCTGTACATTTGTGCGTGTATCAAAAGTACTTGTGTGTAAATGTTCGTGCACATTGTTGGTTCGGTTTAATTATGAATTTATGAATTAAGAGATGTTTGATTATAAGTCAATCCTTTTCCCAGACCGTCACCTGACCACTGTGTCTGCACTGTGATGAATGTAGTTAGTGAGAGCTGGCTGACATGTGACCTATGAACCTATTTACCTGTGACCTCAGTGAACACTATGACAATAGAAGGCGTTAGATGTCTTGGAGATACAAGGACTTTTAACTGACTAAAGCACAACATATGTGCCTCATCCCCAAGTTTTAGTGTGTGTGTGTGTGTGTGTGTGTGTGTATCTGCCTGTGTGTGTTGTTTTGGTGGATCAACACTGCCATCTAAAGGTAAACAGCCATATTACACATACACACACACGAGAATGACACGCACATTCAACATACATGTTTTTGAAGGATTTGTGATTAAGTCAATATGAAAATATACAGGTACAGAGGTTATAGATAGGTTTGGTTTGGATATCAATCAGAATTTTCTGGAATCTGAAAAAAATAATTTTAATAATTTTAAATGACTATTTTATATTTTCTAAACTCGATATCTTGGTGAAGTAGGTAGCACACAGGAGAGATTTAGTCTTGCCTAAATGTCTATAACTATTGTGTTGTTGAAAAACTGACATGTCAATTCAATTTTCTATCTCTCTCACACACAAACACACACAGTGTTCTATAGCTCCTGGGCAGTAGGTCTAAAGGTCATTGTCCTGCAGGGCCCTTCTGGCAAACAACACCGGAATCCAACACCCACACACACACACACACACACACACACACACACACACACACACACACACACACACACACACACACACACACACACACACAGAGAGAGAGAGAGAGAGAGAGAGAGAGAGAGAGAGAGAGAGAGAGAGAGAGAGAGAGAGAGAGAGAGAGAGAGATCCCACTAAGCCTCATACACAGTAGCTATATGTAGATAAATCTTTCTGCATCGACACCTATATCTCTTGTTTAACTTAATTGGATCTTGTCTAATGGACACCTGGTAGGTAGTTGCAGTTAATTGAATGTGTGGATAAATATATAAATATATATATATATAGAAAGTTAGAGGAAGAGTTTGCAACCTACATTGAAAAAAGGGGGAAAACTAAAAAAAAAAAATCATGTCGTTTATGAGACTTGGGACTTTGTGAGACACGCAGGTGTGCTAGTGGGAGGTTATAAAAGTGAGGTTAAGTTAAGGTCTTCTTCATGCATCATGTGAGAGGCAGGTAAGAGAAACTCTTAGCAAGACCTCACAAAGAAATCTCAGCTGTAAAGTTTGAATAGTTCAGTCAAACTGCTGAGTTTCTGAGGAAATCTGCTCCAGAAGTTTCCCAGGATGTCATGGCAGTTTAAAAGTCAGTAGATACTTCCTTGTTTCATGAAGTCTCCTGTGATTACACTGATTACTACTGGTACTCCACCTTTGACTGGTACCTCATCAAATCCAATGTGCAGATTCTACTAACAAGTGTTATCTGTGTTTCCTTATTTCATGAGCTACGTCAAGAACACATTTCTAGCTTTGTGATGACAGTGATTTTATTTGAATCTGAAACAGTGTAGGTTTTATTTAGTTGTAATCTGTAATTTTTCCATATTCAATGTCTAAAAACAACTGGACCTGTGTTCTATATGTTGTTGAGTTGTGTTCTTACATCATCTCAAATGTTTCCATCAATTCTCAAACCAGAGGAATCTGTGATTTTAATCATGGTAACGTTTCATTGGTCGCCTGTCAGTGACATCATATCCTCTATGATCATGTGTCAGTGTGTTTGTCTGACAGAAGCTCAACATTGACTTTTATCTAGTTTTAAGCCACATACACTTTTTCCACCTTGGTGGTTTTCAGCTCTATATTTGAACCAGATGAAGGATTTTAGTCGTCGGACGTCTGGATCTGAAGTTATCAGAGAAACAAGCTGAGGAAATGTTTGTTGTGGAGAGGAGGACACCTCTGTGGATCATTCAGCTGCTGGTAAAAACCTGCTGAACGTCTGCTTCATAAGTTTTCAGAGGAACAATCAGAAACAATCTCAGCTCCAGCTCTTCCCTGAGTCTCTGTCCTCCGTACAGCGTCGCTCAAACTCTGACTTTAAATGTCAAACTGCTTCATTCAATGTTTTTAACAGTTAAAATCATCGGGTCTGTTTGATTTCCTGAACCAATGACACTGAAGAAATCCAAACTGGGAGGAGTTTACGGTGATGGTGGTGAAGATAACAACTCCCATGATACCACACTATTTCATGACATCACCCAATGCCATCAAAATGAAAAACACCAATAACAAGAGAAACTAAGATGACATTTTCAACCGTCTACTTTACCTTTTTATTTGATTAAATGACTGAAAACGACAAATAGATTACTATGGTTAAGATTAATTTCCTGTGGATTGACTAACAGCTTCAGCTCTCTTCTATTTCTTTCTTTCATGACACAAACACATTTACAGATCAGCAGGTTCAGCAAAAACAGCCAGAGGACAAACTCAAAGTCACACATCGACCTCCTCACACACAAACCTGAAATCTGAACAGCAGACAAACATCAGCTGTAAACACACACAGATGAAGACTCGCAGCTGGCTGGGTGTAATGTTTGGGTTGATAGTCTGACATTTCATGGTCATTATCTGTCATTACACCCAGCAGGGGTGGACACACACTCACACACACACCGGGGATAGTGGGTGGTTTTGACCCATAATTTGAGTAGATATGAGAGAGAAATGACACAGAGGTGAGAAGCAGAGAAGAGAACAACAGTGATGTCTTTTCTGATGGAACAAGGAGAAAAGATTGCAGCTGTTGTGTGTTGGCCTTTTCACAGAAGAGCTGTGATTATGGGCAGTTATGGCAGGAAAACCCTGGGAGACACCTACAATAAATCCAACACACAAAGGGGGAAAAGAAACAACACAAAAGGTTATCTGGTGGGAGGAAAGAGATGGAAAAGGACAAACCAAACAGAGGACGAGAGAGGAAGCCGAGCTAAATGATTCCGAGTCAAACTGTAAAAGTCAAACTGTACCAGCCGAACTAAATGCTGCTCAAACACTAAATTATTCATAGCGTTTGTTTTCTATGCTGGGAGGCCCAGGTGGGCAGGGTTTACTCCGTCAGGACAGATCACATCATCCGAGTTGACACAGAGAAGCTGTTCCACATAAAGAACTGCTGTTTGTACAGTAATCAGATTTTTTTTGTTATTATAGTTTTTCCTCAATCGCTTTGATGCAATTCACAATTCACACATCAGAAACATCTTTCTCACCAGTGTTAATGCAGTTCTCAGAGCAGTTCATCTCCCCACACACATTACATCGTCGTGTTTATTCAAGCTTCCACTGTATCCACGCGTTTCACTACTAAAGAGGTTTTCTCATTGTGTTGATGCATTTCTCATCTGACTCTGGCAACTGATGAAAACAGTTTGTACCTTTATCACATAGAATGACGGACCTCTCACTCACTTTGATACTGTTCCTCATTGCATCAGTGTTTTCAGTCAAATCCCTTTAAACTTCCTTTAATATGAATGAAAGATCGAGGACAGTCTCACACATAGTAACGCAGTGTGAATTTACTGCACTATAACTGATGCTATGTTGCTAAGTTTACATATTTTTCTGTCTATTTTCCGGTGCATAGCTTCATGTTTATCATTTAGCTTTCCTCAGTTACAGCAGTTATATTCTGTGGATTTACAGATAGTTTTTTTTACATCTGCTTTCACACATTTTCTAAACTAGCTCTCATTTTTTCAAAACTCTGCACACAAATCCAAAAATGACACACGAAATGCAAAGTGCCACATATCTGCTGCAAAATGAAACACTGCATTAAAATATCATACAGTAAATACATTTAAAAAAACAAGTATTTACATAAAATGCCAAACACTTTTTTAAGTATAGTAATTTTTTTGGATTTACCATGCTCTAAATCTAAAGCTCTTCTGTCTTCCATAGGCTTGTATATACATTTCCATACAGTGATGTAAAGTGACAGTACAGCGATCTGCTGAGAGGTTGAAATGTTCACTACAGTAAACACCAATGCCATGTAGAAACAGAATATAGTTTTTTTATGGTACATGTTACAGTTGTAACCGTAGTAACGTGTTGCATATCTGAACATGTTTTACTCTATAACTTTGCAGTTCTCTTTTCCTAAAGTCAGTCAGGGTTTTAAATAAAGATCAAAACATTTGGAGTCTAAGTCTTGAAGCTCTGGTATAAAGGTTTAATTCATTGGTGACAACGTTGAATTGACTGACTTTGCATGTTTCGACACGTGAACAATGTTTTGATTGTTGTAGAGGCTTTTGTACGTGTTTATTGTTAGGAGAAATGCATCAACTGTTCTGAGAACTGCATCGAGAGTTGTGAGAATGATGTTTCTGATGAGTGAAATGCATCAAAGCGATTGAGAAAAACTGTAACTCTGGCTGAGAGAGTTCAATATGACTCGATGAACTGAAGAGCAAAATTATTCCTATCACACAGTCTTCATCAGATTAAAGCTCCATAACAGCTACAGAGTGTTCAGATTATATGTCTCATGCCATCCTCACAGTCAAGAATGAACTTTCAGACAGACTACCACACTTCAATTACTGTTATAGCTAAGAAGTCAGCAATCAGTTCCCTACTTCCACATCAGCAGAGACAGAACAACATGACCATCCCACTGGAGTTATGTTTGTATCCACCACATGAAACAAAGTCCAACAGTCACTCTCCTTTTACCTCCGATTTGGTCTCTACCAACACTTGAGAAAAACATCTGGCTCTTTGACTATGAGATAAACTGATTAGAATCTGGTGGTCAAAGGTCGAGGTTACAGTGATCTCACGTTCTTGTGAATCCAATATATCAGGAATGCCCAGAGTGAATTTCATCACTATCTCTATCACACTGTGATCTCACAAATAACTCACAAATTCATTCACTAATTATGAACACAATTTAACTCAAATGTCTACAAGGATAAAATGAAGTGATGACATTTTATATCCAAAAAGTCAAAGGTGACTTCACTGTGACATCTTAATGTTCTGAAAAAACACTTCTGGCCATTAACTGCAATTTGGCTGGTTGGTGGAGGAAAAGGAAACAATTCTAGTTTATAAGGAAATATAAACTATGATAACACTACAGCCATTTTCCAGTAGTTCAGATGAGGAGAAAACTGTTTTTAAGCTTCAAGGCCGATTTATGTCATCTGTCTCTTTGCAGCATTAAACATTTCGGAGGAAGCCATGGTTCTGTCAAGTCTGTATTCTATGAAGTGAAAGCTAGCAAGCTAGGCTAACTGTCTTCCACTCAGAAACAGAGGCAGCAGTGACTCACATCTCTTTAAATTTGAGAGGCTCTCTGGAAAGTCAAGCTCAGAGAAAAGAAACAGTGCACTTCTTTTTTTTTTTTGACATTTAAGATAGTTCACGCGTCCCTGGGAGACACTAGTGGTCTCTCTCTCTCTCTCTCTCTCTCTCTCTCTCTCTCTCTCTCTCTAACAGACACAGTGGCTGTAGTGTTGACCTTTGGTTCGTCTCCAGCAGCGTTTTAATTGGTCTGTGAGTTTGGCCAGCTATCTGACCAGTCTGTGTCTCTGTGTGTGTGTGTGTGTGTGTGTGTGTGTGTGTGTGTGTGTGTGTGTGTGTGTGTGTGTGTGAATGAGACAAAAGGCAAAGAAAGAGAAATGACAAAATATGAGGAGGTGGAGGAGACATATGAATCTGAATCAATTCGGACTCATCATTAGAAGTCAACTTAATCAACTTTAGTAACTGTTGATGTCAGCATGTGGCTGGTATCGTTTTCACCTTGTGAGTTTTTATTGTGAGTCTGTGTGTGGAGACGCTTGTTGGAACTATGGATTTGAATATGTCAACAGGTGTCTATGTCTAGACTACAACTTAGTCTATGTCTGGACCACCTGTGGTCAAACACTGATTTTATAACCACAACATCGTCTGACAAAATCACCAGAAACATAAATTAAAGACAAGACGAACATGTTTGGACAGCATGTTTTAGCATGTCTTACAGACGAGCTCTTGCAGACCATAAACCCGGCCTTTAGTTTCTCTGTACCTTGTCAGCGTTGTCTGCAGCCAGCAGGTTGGTGGCAAGCGTCTGCAGTTTGTGCTGGGCCATGTTCTTCAGCGCCGCCAGACTGCGGCGAGTCATCGCCTGCTTCAGGTTCACTGCAGAGTGGCTCAGAGCATCCACGGTGGCCGGAGCCAGCTCATCACAGGCGTTCAGGATCTCTACCGCTGTTATACCCATCACACAGCGGTCCAAGGCTCCTGAGAACACAAACAAAGTAAATAAACACCATGCAATGCCAAGGAATCCACACTGTGGTCCAGAGCAAGATGTCTAAACAACTCTACCCGGATTAGCATTTTATTTATTGTAGATATAAATGGTCCCCAGTCCACTGCTGCTACACAGGGAATGGACTCTTTCCACTCCATGACCTTCCCCAGCACCACCCTCAGGATAACATATCAGCTTTGCACATATGGTTAACTGTCCAGTCCTAAACTAGACGACTAGGACACTTTCTCATCAGATTCCTGCTCCTCAGAGGATGAAGTCTTTTGATTTTAATGACCACCATGAACTTTTCTTTTCCCCCCAGTGCCATCCTCAGGGACAAACTTTTAACTCAGATCCTTCCACATACGGCAGCAGCTTTAAAGATACTCGAGACTGAGGCAGCGGCGGTTGAAGGGACGACTACGGCGTGATGCGATGACATAGATTCTATTTTCATAGACTCTCTTCCTAACATTGCAGCCCTGCTGTCTACTACAGGAGAAAGACCAGTCTGCCCTGCGGTATGTTTTGGACTATCTGTGCATTAATTGTTTTTATGTTTTTTATGTACATTCTTGAAAATGAGATTTCTCACCTGAATAAATAAAAGGTATAATGAAAAAAAAATAAATAAATAAATAAATAATAATAATAATAATAATAATAATAAGACAAGCTTTATCTCTGTGCTTTTTCTCTATCTGTCTTTTCATTCCCATCCCACACCACCTCTGTTTCTATCAATCTTTCTTGTCTTGTCCCTGCTCTCTTCTATTAATATCAATCTTCCAAACTTTCTCTCTCTCACACCATCTATTGTGTCTTGAATATGATTCAGGTCACAGACAGAGTCTTCTCCCTCTCTGACTGCAACAATTCTCTGCCTTCACAGAAAGAGACCAGGGTAGAAAGAGAGAGAGACATCATTAGCTGCAGACACAGCTGACATCTCTGGTATTGAGTGAGAGGAGAAGTGGCACCATTATACCTGTGTGTGTGTGTGTGTGTGTGTGTGTGTGTGTGTGTGTGGCCTGCAAGCCATGGCCCTATTACATGTCCAACGCCTGACTTCACACACACGTTCCTTAATTTCACACTTAGCTAACCTGCAATCTCCCAGCGCCACAGCTCATTCAGGTTGCGCGCACGCGCGCACACACACACACACACACACACACACACACACACACACACACACACACACACACACACACATCCCTGTGCAGTGCCATATACATGTTTACTGCAGATTATTTTGTCATGGTTAGAGCTGAACAGAGGATAAAGAGCACAGAGGAGTAAAGAGAGAGTCATGAGCTTTAAAAGAATATTTTGACAAATTCACTTCTTTCAGAGAGTGAGGTGAGAAGATCAATATGAATCACATGTCTGTGTATCATGTGTCAGACAATGGGCGAATCCACAGGCTGATTCGGCCGTGAAACTGGTTATGACACAAGCTTTGGGGAATAATCTACCTCTCTACCTGTCTATATATACACACCTGTCTATATATACACACATTCACTTACTCACTTCCTTATATTTTCTTCTTATTCTTATTTTGTCTAAAGTTGAATTGATGAAGGAGAGAAAAGCTGCCTGAGTGTGGTTAGCAGTAGTGAACCTGGTGGGGTTTGTTTTCTCATTGCTCACATATCCAGTGTTTTAATACAGCTGAATTCACAATAAAGTCGCTGTCATTTACATATTTTTCTCTTTCTGTTGTCAGACAACGGAACAAGTCAGAAACAGTGACTGCAACGTGCTCCATTAACACTACATGTTAACCAGCAGTCGCTCCCAGACTGCTGCTAAAATCCTGATTGACCTTGTCTGACCACAACACCATACATACAAATGAAACACAACGACTGAGCTGTGATTTCAGTTGAATTTACTGTAACATGATCACTCAGAGAGGAAGTTAAGACGCTCATTCAGGACTGCTGTGCAGTCAGCATGGAGAGGTGTGCCTGCAGGGGGAAAGCCTGACCTCACACTCACAGGGAAATGCTGGCAACTCTCTTCTATGGGAAGTAGCTAAGCTGGTTGCAGAGGTTCAAAGACAACTTGATGATTGTAACTGGAACATTTAATCCATCATATGTGTGCTCTCATGTAACCTCATTTTAACTTTAACTGTCCCAGTTAGAGCTGAACTGCCCTTGGCTGCGGTAAGAGAGAAGTTCTCTATCTGCATTCTTTCCCTGCACATCGGGTTTTGACTCCTGAGAACTCACTGCTTCCTGCTTGTGTGGCCTGAAACCACCAACTGCAAGGGGCAGATACTCCCATATCTTTGTTTGCTATAAGATACTGGATTATTCTCATTTTCACTTTGTGGGGACTTTTGATCTATATACAAGTGCTGAGCCCATTTGCAAATGTTGTGTTAAAAAAACACAAATACAGGCCTGAGTCTTTGAGTCTTTATCTTTTTTTAAGATTTCCGTAACAAAGCCGCTTGTAGTGACAAATAAAATCTGATTCTGATTCATTGATCATCAAGTTTAGGACTCGGAGAGCGTTTTTCCTGTCTTTGATTCGGCTGAGAACAGCGACCGTCCTGAGGCTGAAGCTGGATTTCTGAAAGCAAATGAACCTTCTGAAGTCTATAGGCTGTGAGAAGGACTGAAGAGCTGAACAAACACATTTCTGCTGAATTTGCATAGAATAATTGCAGCCGTTTTTACACCCTCCCTGCTGTAAATAAATATGAACATTTGTGGGATTTGATTGTGTTGGAGACATTCAGGAGTCCATTGCCAGCCAACCTCAAGGGTTTGGGACAATGGGGGAGAAGCTGAGCATAGCATCTGCAGCAGAACTTCCATGTGATGAATGATTTAACTCATGCCAGTGACGCAGCTTTTTTCCTGTCCCCTACACCTGGTCACCCATTTCTCACCTGTATCCATCTGCCAGACGTAGACGGAGCCGTCAGAGCACCCTACCACCAGGTAATCATCTGCCGGACGCCACTTGATGACCTGGATGGGAAAGAGGTGTCTCGACGCCAGCATGATGCACTTCCTCTCCCGAAGACTCAGCAGGCCGACGGAGTGGTCGCTGGCCACTGAGCACACGCAGTGCTGCACCCGAGTCTGCAGAGGAAACACAGGTTACGGTGATAATGCAAAACTACTGGACCTGAGGACAAGATCGGAAAGTCACTGAGAAGTTAGAGGAACTCCAGGTGGTGTTGGGGTTCAATAACGTTTTATCAAATCTGGATATAGTATTGAATTCACCTCAAAACTTTAAAGCTCCTATATGTAGGACAATGTGTGACTCTGGTGCCCTCTAGTGGAAGAATAAAAACTGTACCAGACAGCAATTTATTCTCTAAACTACCTGAATGTTTTGTATCAATCTAAGACAGTAAAAAGACGTCAGACTAGTTCAAAGTTAAATGCAGTTCAACTGTCAGTCTTTAATCATATACAGTCATTTGACCTGTGTACATAATACTCCAAATGTTCATGTCTTCAACAGTCAAATCTGCGTTTTTCACACAGATTAAACGGTGGACATTTTAAACCACTAGTGGCGTTACAGAGCAATGTTTTTTTGAGTGGGTCCCTGTTTTGTTGGTATCATGTATCACATTTTGCTTGTGTATACACATTTCCACCAAAGGTTTCCCGTTTCCCGTTATTCCACTGACTGACAGCTGGTGGCGGTAACCGCAAAGGAGGTGAAGCAATGTCGACACGAACGCCCTGAGGAAGAAGACTGACATCTAGCAAACATGAATGTAAACAATTCATGATTCATGCTTTTCCTAAATCAGCTATACATTTTTTTTTAATGAGGAATGAAATGCATTCAACACATTTGTTAGACCTCAAGAATACACATAAGTAAGTTAGTACTACGTAATACGTAAGTTTTGGTGAGTACCATGTTATGTATATATATCTTTTTTTGTTTGGCAGCTTTAACTAGAAAAACTAAGGTTCATGAAACCAAGGTTTCAAATTAAATGTGTAATACTTTCAGAGCAGCTAGAAAACATCCAGTGTCTTCATTAGTCTGCGTGTGATAGGTCAGTCATTGTAGTCGTGCTCCAACAACACAACAGCATTAGCCTAATTTCCGTGGCAACAACACAGTTGATCACAATGATGATTTCATCTTAATGTCATTTAAACACAGACAGACACAGTCCTTTCAGTGTTTCATTTGGTTTGAGGGGCGACTCTGTGTGTGTGTGTGTGTGTGTGTGTGTGCATGGCATGCGTGTGTCTTTTCAACATTTGACCACAACACAATGTCATTAAAGTTATTTCCATGGTAACAACATGAACCCTGCAACACTTAACTCTAGCATCAGCAACAAAACACATCTCTCCACAAACACAACAGACAATAAACTGAACAAAAAAAAAAAAAACAAACATCTCAAGACTGAACATCATCATTACGTACGCTGCAGTTTTCCGGGGGGATGATGAGCTGGGTGATCTCTCCGCCGTGGACACAGAAGATGTGCTTCATCTCTCCAGTGAAAATGTCCCAGACGATGACGGAGAAGTCCACTCCTCCAGATACCAGTGAGCGCTGGTCGTAGCGGGGGGAGATCTGGTACGGGTATAGGACACATGTCACCTTGTTCCGGTGACCTCGCAAGGTACGATGGGGCGGCCAGCCTGCAGGACAGAGACGGTCACAACGCTCAGAACGGACATGAAACAGAGACTGGGGATGGATGATGGGATGAAAACTAGTGGAGTCTGCTGCAATTTTTTTTTAAAGATTTAGGAGTTATTCCTAAATCAGAAAGTTAGGAGCTACTTTTAGCCTTTAGATGCTTTAGATTTGTATAGCCTTGTAAATGTTTTAATGATGATAAAGCTTCTATTCTCTCGTCCCCGGACGTTCCTCCCCTCTCTGTGACCCTCCCTCACCTCTCCGGAGCATGTGCTCTCCCTGCAGTAGCTGAACGATGGCAGTCTGAGTGGCAGGAACCAGGATGATGCTGCCGTCTTCTCTCCCGCACACCAGTCGACCCTGAGAGGGGATGTACACGCTGGCTGTCACCTGAGGAGGAAGACACACACACACACACACACACACACACACACACACACACACACACACACACACACACACACACACACACACACACACACACACACACACACACACACACAACAAGAAAATGAAACATGTTTTAGTCACACAGCAGCCATTTTGAACTATGAGCCTGGGAATGCAACTCAAGTGAAGACAAGCAACAGTTATCCAATTAGATCAATTAGAGTGGGCTGCAATAAGGAGCCAATTATAACAAGAGGTGGAGTGATGTTTTTGTTTTACTTGGTTGCAATGACTTCTTTGTCCTTCTGTAAACATCTCGTTTGTGTTATGTTGTCTGGGTTCAAACCTTGACGGGTTCTTCTTTGCCAGGCAGGACACTGAGCTGGTCGATGATCCCAGCAGACACGGGGGTCAACTTATCAAACGCCTCCTGGAGACTGATGGTGGACGACACCTGCAGCTCTGCAGGGAGAGAACCACAGAACCAAAGCCCAAGTGTTAAGTGTGATAAACATTAAGTTGATGCTGAGAGAAAGATCAAATGCCATGTATTAATGAGTGTCTCTATTGTTCATTCATTTCTAATTAAACGGATGACAATGCGAGATACGTGAACATGTGGGTGGCTTGTCACCTCAGCGTGAACAATTTCCGTACAACCATGAGGAGGTCATTCTAGTTTCCTTCTTTTTTTTTATGTTGTAGGTGTATATTATTTCCTGTAGTTCTCTTTTTATATATTTTTCAGGTAAATGAACAGTTTTAACTTTTTAAAAAAATTATATTTTTGTGTAACTAGCATTTTGATCATTTGTTAGGGGAAAGAATAAGCATAGAGCTGTAATATCACCCTTCAATTACAAGTGTGGACAGTGTATTTTTGTCTGTGAAGACCAACAGCCTCACGACTCTTCTAGAGGAATGATCGAGCCACACGAGCCGAGGCGTCCTCACCGGCAGCAGTCGACAGCGGCTGCAGAGGCGAGGTGTCTGGGATGCTCCACAGGGACAGTCTGCCCGCTGAGTCTCCCTGGATCAGCAGCTTGTGGAAGGGTTCACGCCGGCCGAAGAAGAACCGAGTCACAGGAGGACAGATGAGGAGCTGGAGGATTGCGGCAAAAAAAAAAAAAAAGGCATCAAAAACTGAAAACCTGAAGCCCAGCATCCATCAGACCACTCTCACTTTCTTTAGGGATTAGAGAGTTTTTCCCCCAAAAGACTATTAGAATAAATAGATAGAAAGTAAACAACAACTGGAAATGTTGGACTTAGTTTAGTTTTTTGTGCCATACTGCTTCTACGTCTGAGGGCCATGTGAAGCAGAAATGTTTGCCTTTGTTCTCTGGTTGTCTTCATACAATCACCAGCAACATAAAAGAGGACCAAACACCTCTGATTCACCTGGGCCTCCGACTCCTCTGCAGGCTGGATCTAAGCAGATACTGACCGATTCCAACATGCTGTTTGGGTTTTACTGGGACTTTCTTTCAGAGGGGCTTTAAGAAACAGCAGTACACTGCTATGAAGTGTAAAATAAAACCAAATGTAGCCACTGCAGAAGTTCACCTTAGCTGTGCCAATGCAGCACGAAGGATGGACAGGTGGGGTTAAAACAACAGGAACAGATAGGATGAGAGCCAAGGGACTGAAGGCCAAAGTGGCTAACTGTCGCTCAAACTAAATAATACCTCAATTTAACCATTTATGACCAAATATTTAAACTATTCTGTTTCCTCAACCAATTTGTCAATCTCCAGAGCTTCAACACAAATGACTTTCTTAACGTGACATCAACAGTCACATGACTTTCACCATACTTGTCCCTCCAGTCTCTCCAAGAGGACTGGATCAGGTGTCTTCTACAAAGGCTACCACTGTCCATTACCAGGTGAGTTTCCCTTTGCTCGGTTTGGCAGCACTGTGAGGTGAAACGTCCGTCCACTGAAGGAAATCATGGACAAAATCAAGAGCCATAGACATGGACAGTTGTGTCAAATCTATGACTCTGGATTCATGAAAGCCTGACAGGTTTAAACATGATGTGGGAAACTCACCGAGGCTTCGGTGTGAAAGTAGGACCAGATGAAAGATGAGGTCAGTTTATAACATATAATTTCTGTTTTAACATTTTAAAAGGCAACATGACCAGTTCAGAGGTCACTGAGGAATAATGGAGGAGATGGGAGGAGGGCAGCATAGCTTTTTTGCCACAAAAGGAACAATCCACCCCTAAACAGAACTAACTTATGCCATTCCCAAACTGTGAATTTTGCTCAGTGGTTACTGGAGTTCCTAAAGAGAAAAATGAAATTTGTCATTGCTGTATAGACCAGGTAAAACAAGACCAGGTCAAAACCTAGTGAATGGTTGAACCGCATTGTCGGCATTCTGCCTAGTATCAGCTGGTTTCAGTCCAAGACTACCTTCCAAGCCATTTCCAAGCTGCTGCTAAAACCTGAATTTATGACCATGATATGGTTTGACAAAATCACCAAACAAATAAACTGAAGACAAAGACTGTGCTATGATTTTAGCTACAGAGAGTTCAAGCCAAATCAGTTTGAAAAAGCAACGACCAATGGGGAAACTCCAACACTCGGCCTACCAATGGTATAACCTTGTCACTCAGTCACGCTGTATTCGTTTTATTCATGTTTAGACGTGCTGGCCTCTCGGGTTTGAATGGTAATAAAGCAAAGTGATTAGAGTTTAAGAAAAGTTAAAGGGCGTAGCAAGCTCCAGGTTAAAGGTTGTCAAGTTTCTGCGGTGGAAAAGCACTAAAAGTGTGTTTGACCAAATCTAGTCCCATAGCTGAAACATTTCATTCCACGATGAAAATGTCAGCAATTGATGCCAATTCATCAACTCAGCAGTTCTGCTTCAGGGTGGATTTCCTCTTAGATTTCTTTCTAATTTAGAATAAAACAGTTTGAAGCTGGATTTCAGCAGGGACAGTAAGTTAGCTTGCAGTGGAGAAAATCATGCTGTGGCAGGGACTCCGAATATACCTTAACATATATACCTAATACTTTAACCAATGAGTGTATTTTCAGGAGCTGCCGGCAGGTGGAGTGTTTTTCCTGCTAATCCATCACAGTGATAATGATGACAATGAAAGCTCGTAAACCTTTGGGTGTGTTAGACTGATGGGCTGCCATCACCACGGCAACTACAACATTTAAAGAGGTACAGATGTGGGAAATGGCTGAGGTGTTCAGTGTGTAACACGATCAGTTAGTGCAGCTCATTTGAACGCTGTGGATAATCTATGCAAAGTACCACCAAATGTTGTTTTTAAACACACAATCACTCACAAAGCAACACACACACAAACCAAACCACATCTTGATAGAAGATGTTAATACATCAGTGAGTGTTAGGTTTTAAGCAGACAGCACAAGAGAGGCAGAGAGAGAGAAGATCAACACATGGTGACTTCTAAGAATTTTTGTGTGTTTCTTTAGACTGGCTCTGGGCAGCAGGTGAGCGGGGTTTTCACTTTTAACATTTGTAGTGTTGTAAACAAACAGGTAACAGCCTTGTTGCACATGCTGCATCATCCTCATTCCACGGTCACAAAATGCTGGTATGCTGAGTTACATGAGGCTTGAATGAATTTTTTTCTTTCAGACTCTTCTAGTAATCACAGGAATAAATAACAAAGACAGAGAATGCAAAACAAAAATGTGTAATGTCTCAACTAAGAGCTGGTATTCAAATAGCTGATGAAGGAAAAGGCCATTGTTAAAAGAAAAAATCAGGGGTGGGTGTGTGTGTGTGTGTGTGTGTGTGAGAGAGAGTTTCATCCGTAATTCATACCGGTAAATAACGTTTACCAACAGTTAAATTTTCATTTACTGGGGAACTCTGTTTTCTTTGATCGCAATTCTTTAAGCCACTGAAAGGCTGTAACCAGGCATCAACCTCCCAGGCTGGAAAATGAAGCCAACACTGAAGTGCTCAAAACTGCAGTTCGTCTAATGACCACTAGAGTACGGCACCAACAGTTAGTCAATCCCCATAGACTCCCATGTTGAAATGTCCAACTTTACAGCAGAAATAAACATGTTTACAGCCTGGTCCAAAAAACAGTTTTTGTCACTAGAGCTAATTTCCTCCTTCATGACAACTGTTTA